CTGTAGAGACTCAGCATTGCACTGGTTTTGAAATGATTGAGAAGAGTGAGCATTTGGACTGCTGAGCATAGACTGCTGGGATTTGGGGGATTTTTTTGAACACAATTTAAACCCAATGTAACCACTGTCCACATTTGGGAACTATGCCTTTTCTCTGAGTGGCAAGGAGAAGTACTTCCAGGAGAAGCTCACAGTTTTCCATGAGGAAGGGATTTGCAAATCCCTGACCTTGCAGCAGCTTGCAACAAATGTTCCACCTCCTCCACATCTATTTCATTATTGCCCTCTGCCTACTGTAAATAAAAGTACTCAGCTGGACTTCAAACCTCCCTTTTTGTGAGGTATCTTGTCCTGCACCACATTGGTGGTGTCTAACTCACCTTGCAGCCATCTCAGTGTACCTGAGTTCCAGCAGTTAAGTGGAAGATGTCATATGAGAGTTGTTGCATGGTACAAACAACATATGTCCAGCAACATGATGCTGGAAAGCATAAAAGGGGATAAAATAACAGATAACAAATTAGAAGAATCTCTCATGTTCTCCTTTTTGAGAACAGAGTAGGTGCTGGATTTGAGCAGTGAGCAACAGCATGGTGCTAAGTTCTTTTGAGTTTAGTGAGTGGTCCTTCAAGCAAGCTTTAGGATACACCACCTTATGAATATCAGTCTATAAAATGAGTAATTTTAATAGTTTGTACAATCCTATTTGCATTAGTGAAAGAGTTATTAATGAATCTTAAAAAAAAAATGCAAAGAGAAAAACCTTAGCATTCAATCTCTAGGCTTGGTAGGAAGAAAGAAATATTACAGGCAACGTAATGCTTGAAAATAAATCCTGGTTGGCTGCCAAATATATATTTCAAAATAATGCCTAATTGCCTCAGGAAATACATTAATCAAAAGCTCCCAGAGGCCTAAGAACCACTTGCTCCAATTGACCAAGGCAGAGTACTGATGAACACCTGAGTAATGTAAGGAGCTATACATGGCCTTGAGACAAAATATATGAGAAATACAGAAGGACATCTAAATAAAAGCTCTTAAACAAGTTCCTTGAGCAGCTTACTGACATCACTCTTGGGAGAGATCAAAGAAAAATGTTACTCTGACCATGAAACCAGCAACAGACATTCGATAATCACCGAGTCATGCTGTCCAAATTGAGATTCAGGAAAGGCATCAAGAAGAGTCTCTCTGTGGTGTGGCCCAGACCACGGAGAGAGACAGTCAGGCCAGCATGAAGAAATGATCAGATTATGCAAGGGCTCTGGTGAAGAGCTTAACTCCAAACATCCATGACCAAGGCAGGGGAAGAAAGTGCTGAAGAACTGAAGAAGAGCTGGACCCCTCAATGCACAGCTAAGCTTCCTCCTCTCAGTGCACCAGCCGTGGGGTCCCTGGAGGCAGAGCTCAGCGGGGGACCCTGGGGGAGATGTGGGGGGCAGTGGCAGTGCCACCCCAGCCCCTCACACCCCTCCATGGGGCACAGGGCCCCTGCCCTTGGCTTGCAGCCCTGCCTGCAGGTGGCCAGAGCACCAGGCTCTCTGCTTGCCTTACCTGGTTTGCTCAGAATCCCTTGGATGCACACACATGTCCTGGCCCTCCTCCCCGTGTGTTACATAAGCTTCCTAGGGCTGAGGTGTAGTTGCTAAGCAGTAATTTTGCACGACTAAAAAAGAAACCCATGATTGCTAGGTTCACTAAATGTTTTTTTCCCCCCAACTGCAATATAATTATAGCTATAATAAAAACATTGCAGAACATGCATCGGCATGCAAAAATTAGGTCAGGAACAAAGTGAGTATATCATATATGCCTTTTTTCCTTCCTTTGCCATTGGAGGGGGAAGAACCAGAGAAGTTTGTTATTGCATCAAATCGTAAATAACGGGTTTTTCCATCCTGTCAGCTAACCTGACATTAGCAGTAGCTCATGTGCTTGTTTCAGAAGGCAGCTTGCTTCCCTCATCACAGAGCTCTCCTAAAGCCTTGCCAGAGGTTCCCAGCCCGCAGCCTCTGCACACAGTGTTTTCCCTGAGCTCTGCAGTCTGAAATGGGGATGCCCACACATCCCTCCAGTGGGGAGCTGTAGTTTAATCCCTTTCCCCCATCTTTTTGTGTCCAGCTGCCCTGTGGTAAGGTGCTGCCAGTGAGCTGGCTGCAGGGTCTCTGCCAAGCTGTCCACACGTACCCACAGCACTGAGACAGCAAGGTCAGCTGAAACAGAGACAGCACTTACTGCTCATGGAAATCAATTCCTTCAGAGAACAAATCAACTTGGTGAAAGCCCTTGCTTCTCAGAGACCTAGATTATTTATTCTATTGCCACTTAACTAATACAAATATTAAAAATACTTTCTGTGTTTAATTAAAAAATCAAATAAATGGAATTTAAATCATGCAATTTGCTTGTATGCCTGTGCAAAGCATCTTCCTGGTTAGCAAAAAGAAATAGCAAATTCACTGCAAAGACAATGTTTTTTTCTGCAGTACCTGCTTAAAAGATTATTACTCAAGAAAGATCAGAGTTTCATACAATAGCAACAAAAACAAGATTAAAATGGAGGCTTTTGCCTCCACACTTAATAAAAAAATGCAATGAAAGAGAATAAAGGAAAGTCACTGCATACAGATTCCTGGGATTCCAAGTCAAGAAAGCACTTCATTGACTGTTGGGGTCTTCCATCCCACGTTCCTGCCCCTAACACGTGTGACCCACATACCCGAATCCAAGAGATGTGCACCCTGTAGGGGCAGCTCTGTTCCACGTGGGCTGAGCAGGGTGGGTGGCACACAGTGTCAGCCCTAATTAGTTGAATATTGACATTAGCTGGTGTTGAACAGATTCTGAAGCTACATCATCCCTTGGCATGCTGTTTCCTTCGCAGCCCACCAGAACGTGAGACCTGGGGAGAGCAGAGGGCTTTGGTGCCAGCAGGGCCTGGCTGCCTGACCCGGGCTCCTGTGCTGCAGCTGCTGCCACCACTCACTGGGGCAGCAGGGAAAAGCTGCATTGCTTGGCATGGGTTTTTGGAGGGTGGTTCTATTTACTTGTGGGTGTGGGGGGTTGTAGGGCCTTTGCTTGCTCTAGCTTTGGGGTTTTGTGTGTATTATGTTTGGGTTTTTTGTTTCAGCAGTGGCTCCCCATTTAAGTTTTCCTCTTTTCCTGCAGAAACTTCCATTATTATAATCACTTGTTAAACTGTGCTTGAGAGGGGACATCTCCCGCAGGAGGCTCATGGTTATTAGCAGCCAACAAACCTTGTTTGCCCCTCTGGTGTGCACTGACCATCCCCAGAGCAAATCTAGGCTTGCTGTTCCTGCGGCCTTTTCTGCTGGGGCCACCTCTGCTTCCCAACGCAGCCAAAAGCACCTGGAGGGGAGCAGCTGTGGCAGCAGCACCTGCCTGCTGCTGCTCCGAGAGGGACAGGCTGGGTATTTCACACCAGAAGAAATGGTAATTATCCTAATTACTGCCATTTACTACGTGCTCCTTGCTACACGCTTTAGAAAGGGCAGGTACAACTACCCAGCCCAGGTTTACTTGCACAGCGCTGGGGAACAAGAGCTGCCTTTTGCTCGGGGAAGCCGAGGGCTCCTCTGGCTCCCGAGGACACGGAGAGCCAGCCCCGCAGCTGGAACTGCTGGGGACAGCCCTGCCCTGGGTCACAACCCTGCCCTGGGTCACAGCCCTGCTCTCAGCGTTCCCTGGGAAAACATCCCTTTCCCTGGGAAAACATCCCTTCTCCTGACCACAGAGCCCAGGGCACCTGAGCAGTGCCACTCCCGGGGGCTGAGAGCTGAGTGCAGTGACAGGACACTGCACAGGGCCAGCCAGAGCCACTGCAGGGATCCCCAGGGGAATGCAGGAGCGATGGATGGCCTGGGGAGCCACCCAAAACACAGGGCCCAGGGAGGACATGCATCACAAAGCATGGGGGCAGCAGTGGGTGACACAGCATGTTCAGGAGCTGGCCTGGAGCAAGGCGGTGCTGAGCATGTGTGGCTGCTGCAGTGCCAGGCAGATGTGACTGAGCAGCATATGGGCCACTCCTTCTGGGCTGGGGGGAGGCAAGGCTATGGCCAGAGACACAGAGTTTTCCATCTGTTGGAGTTCATTACCATAAATAAAGTGATAATGTGCACTAATTAGTACAGGAATTATAACAGCAAGCCACTTTCACTGCTACAGACTATTGAAAAAAACCTCAAACCAAACCATACTTTAGATTCCCTCACAACTTCTCCCATTCTGCCTCCCCAGCAGCCCCCAGGCCAGAGCAGCATTCCCCATATGCTCACCAGTGTACATCCCCAGCTTCACCTTTTCCTGCCTGGGATCCTTCAATCCCCAGCTCAGGAGAGCTGCAGAAGAGCCACCATCTCCCCTCTCCTCTCCTCACCAGACATGCAAGGCAGGGTGGGGTGCAGTGAGGCACCTTATTGCTGTCAGCCGTGCTGACAGCACAGCTGCTTCTGATCACCAGGGGATTGTTCCTCCTTGTTCTCCTCCTGCTCCAGGAGGTGTTCCAGGGCTGACCAAAGTGCTTGCACCAGAGCTGAACCTCTGAAGTGCAAAGGAAATGTCCAAGGATGTATCTGCATGTGAAATTCAGTGGTGTATCCATCTACTGTGGGCACCTACAGTTGAGTAATTGTGAACTGCCATTCCAGTTCACATTGAGGCAATTACAACAACAGATATATTTTATGAAGTAGTAGATGGCTTGACAATACCTTTCGTGGTTTATTTAAGAATTCTGAAGCCTTCTTGAGAGGTATCTTGGACAAGGAAGAAAGTTTTCAAAGTAGACAGGAATTTGTGGGAACCTTAGCAACGTGTCAGGACCCAAAATATTTAGAATAGTCTTGTCAAAACTGGTGAAACTCTAACTCAATTCTTTAAGTCAGAGGTTGTTCAGCATTAAAGTGCCAATGTAAGAAATTAAACAATCGGTATTTTTGAAACAAGTTCAAAAAGTAAAAATAAATAGCGTAATGTTAGAGTTCTAAAAGCAAAATTTAATAAATTAATATATGCATGCCAGATAAAAATACAAAATTACAATTGAAATAGCAATAATAATAAAGGAACACTGTTCAGTATTGCAGATTTCACTGCAACCACCATAAACATCATGGAGAATTACTTAAAGTAACATTTAAAGTACAATTTTGTTTCTGTTAAAAACAAATTACTATATGATGAAAAAATGGAAAGAAACCCAAGAAGAAATCAGCCCCAGAAGTGGAAGAGAATATGAAATGTCAATAAATGGCCAGAGGCTCCATTTCACAGAAGTCTGCCTTCTTTTTAGTATTAGAAACCAATTACATAGAACAAAAAAAGCAAATTCACAACAGGTTTACACGGAGAAACATGCTGAATTACAATCACAAACTATCCAGAACAAAGATGCTGCACCAGTTCAGTTGTTTTCTTCATGGAATGAGTCTCACCAGAACAGGGAGAACAGGGAGCAAATCATGCAATAGCTTTAGGCATTTTGTTTTTTATTTCAACATGATAAACACCCAGGATTACTAGTACTGGAAAGTATGTGTTAACCTTTTTCAACATCAGCTGAATGGCACTACAGAAACGACAAAGAGTTCCTTCATTTTTATTCTGAATACATCAAAAGCTCTAGCAAATATGGAAATCAGTGACAAGAGCCATTAAATTACTTTAAAATATTCCTTCATCCATAGAACACTGTTGCTTCCTTTTTTATTACAAAACCCCCAAAATATTCAAAATAAAATGTCTTCATTTTTTATAAGCATCTCCACCACAAGTCTCTGATAGCGGATGTCGTTCAGCGCAGCCATCGCGTCCAGCTCCGGCGCTCTCATGAGAGTTGGTCCAAAAACTATGCCCAGGTTTTCTGCACTCATCAGGTTCTCCTTTTCATGGAGCGTTACTCTGTAAAAAAAGCCCAGTGATTCTCACATGGGTGCCAGACCATGCCTGCATATGCTTGAAAATCAGGGACACTGGACAGAAATGTGTGCCTTTCCCAAGGAGAAGCCACTGTTCCCAGCAGGTGACACATGGGAGTGTCAGGTGAAACCTTGGGAGCGAGTGAAAGCAAAGGCTGTGTGGGTTTGTGGTGAGTCAGTGTCTGTCCTCCTCAGAGCACACAGACCGTGCTCACTTGCACTGCATGAACAAGCCCTTTGGTATACAAGAACTACAAACTCAAGATTCAAACTTTCTTCTGTTTCTCCCTTTCTGCCTTAGTTTTTATTTAGAAACAGGTCAGACTGATGTTACCGAGTTGCCGTGTCTCTAGTCTGTAAGTATTTCAAATAAAGGAGCTGTTCTGGTTACCTGAATTCAGCAGCAAGACAATGGCCTGTTGAACAGCACAGCTCCTTTTAGCAAAGCATTAAACAGAAGTTTAAAAATAGTGAATTTTGTCACCTTTCTACCTTATCATTCACCTATACCAGAAAACAATTTGCTAGGTAGAGCAGCAACAGCTAATCTTGAACAGGGTGAGGAAAAATTAACTTCACATGTCACAAGCTGTAAGGTGGAGTTTTTTGTTCCTATGTCTCTCATCCCTTTGTCCATTTTAAAACACCCATTAGAAATGTCATTGAAATAAAGGGACAAATCAGGCAGAAACTCAGTAGCTGAATTTTGCCTGAGGCACTCAGCAGAATCAACACAGTCCTACTTGTAGAGGAGCTATATAATGAAAAAAGGCAGAAGAGACCTTAAAATAAAATCATTTTTCTATGGAAAGGGAATGATTCTTACATATTGACAGTAAGTTCATGTTACTTGAGCAATTAAAATGGACACCCTAACATGCCACCTTGGTTTTGTTTTGCAAGGGATAATCCCCTGTGTCTGAGTTTTGCCATTGTGTACAGTATCACTCCTGCCACAGGCCCTTTGGAGGATTTGATGGGCCTTGACCAGACTTTTCTGGAGGTGCTAGCATGGATTTTTGCTAGAATTGAGTGTGGCTTAGAGTTCTTTGCAGCTGTTGCACCCACCTCTTCAGATGTGCCATGAGATACCGTAATGTTTCACAGTGTGCAGGCGGCAGCAGCTTCAGCGCCTCGTGGAGAATTTCCAGCTGTTCATCCGGATCCGTGGTTTCTGAAACACAGATGTTCAGCTGTCACCACACAAACAGCCAGATTCACACACAGAAAGGCAACAGCCTGGCCTGCACAGGAGACAGGGTCTCACAGCTCTGCTGGATTACTCATGGAGGATTTGTCTGTCCAAAGAGGTGCTCAGAGCACCGTGAGGATGTGACTGGTTTTGGACACAGAAAACTCCCCAAAGCAAACTGCACTCCACTGAAAGATTCCCTGCAGCCTACTAAAAAAATCCTCTGGCAATCTTGCTAACTGGACTGGTTTTGCACAAATAATCTGCAGGTGCAACTCCGGGAGAGCAGAAGGTACTGGGAACTTTGCCATCAGTGCCTTTGGCTGCCTCCATACGAGTTGGAAAAAGCCTTCTCCAAAGGAGCTGTAAGGCCAGCACGCAGTCCTTGTTTTCTAACCACGGCTACCTCACACCTTTCAGGTGTGGCTGGTGTGAACACATCACAGAAATGCTTCAGGCAGCCAGGATGTTTGGGAGAGATATTCCAGCTGGGCTTACTGCTGTGCTTGCAGGCCCACTTTCTGCCAGGCCAGCCCCAAAGCTGGCTTTGGGAGAATGAGTGGTTATCAGCTTAGGAAAACACTCAAAATGGACAACTCCAGAAACAAGCGACATCTTATTTCTAAACATTTCCATAAATCACCTTTCTGGCACCATAAAACCAGCAGACTTTAAATAATCACTGTCAAGTACCCAGGACTCATGCAAGACACACCAGTGATGTAATCCATAATGTGTGATGAAAAGGAAACATTCCTGGTGACAAAGGCAAAGGAAAATGTGACCATGCCCACGTAGCATCACATGGTCAGGCCGTAATGTGCACTGCATGTTCAGTCCTGCAATCCTTACTAAATTGGGCATGCAGAGTAAGAGCTGGTGGGACAGCTATAAAACAAATAGGACAGTCCTGCAAGAAAAGGAGAAAAGGCTAAGAATGAAAAGCAGATCAAAAATGTGTTATACTTACTTGCAGACTCTATGAACTTTGGGTAGGCATCATATGTGATGAGTGGAATTGGCAAATCCCTGAAGTACAGTTTAAGTGCACCAGTGATAATATTGATATCTTCATACATATTCACAGAAATATCAGCTTTTTCCCCATCTGTGTGGAGAAACACTGATATTAAAGCCTTGGAAATGTAAACAGATGTAGAGCAGCATTCAAAAGAAAAATAATAACTTGCTTAAGCAAACATTATTGAAAAGGAAACAACTACAGATTTTGGTTGTGGTACGTAAAACCATTACTGGACTGTGATGTTCATGGTTTCAGGGTGAAAACCTCAAGCATTTTATAAAGTAAAACATCTTTTCTTTGTTTCAAATAATTACTAAAAAATACAGTTTGGGTTTTTTTTAAAACCTGCCTGAATGATCTTGCAGTGTCTGTCTTGTATTAAGGTATGGACGTTTAGCTATTTCTGAACACACTGCCTTGCAAAACAACACATTCATCAGCACTGAATGAGAAATCAGGGAGTCTGGGAAAAAAGTAAAAGGCAGAAAACCAGCTTTGTCCACAGCCCCCCTATTTTATAAGAAAAACATGTGTTCACCATTTAACTAGAGCATACTACCTACTCCAAACTGCAGTGGACACACATCCAGAACTTGGCTTCTGCAGCACGTCCCCACCCTGCTAACACTGCAGATGTTGTCCGAATCGGTCCAGTCCCCCAGACAAACAGGAAAGAGAGTTTCCAGCATGGATTCTGGACTTGATTTCTACTGGCATAGAGGGACTGCAGCTGGAAAGCCTTTAATTTTCCCACTGTCTTTTCTCAGAGAGAAGATTTTGTTCTCAGTGACCTTCTTTTAGTTTGTAATAATTCAAACTTTGTTTGCACTATTGCATTCATCTTATTATTTTGGAGCTTTCATCCAGAAAGATGGATTTAAGTTGCACAGCTCTCTTAAGGCACTTCACCACTCACTCTCTATCCCTCCCCCACCCCTCCGAGCACAGTTTGACTTGCAAACTAGGGCAGTAGTTCACAAAGCTTTGTCCTTCCTACACACATGGTTACTGGAGCACAGATACTGATGGAAGGAGAAAAGGAGATTTTTGTAATAAAGGCCAGAGTGAAGCTGATGTGCTTTTCTGATGGGGAGTCTCCCCTCCTGCCAGCACAGCCGTCGGACGGTGCAGCGGAGCGTGAGACAGGGGCTCTGCACAAAAACTGTGTATATGCTATACATCAGCACCAAGTTCCAGCACGCAGGAAAGACTGTACCTCTGTCAAATGCCATTTTGACATCTTCAATAAGATCACTAAATCCTGAGACTCGGTACAGTCCTTCAGAATTAAGACCTGCAATGAACATTTTAACAAGATTAAAATTAGTCCTGAGTTTTACATTGCCTTCTTTCCTTGGCAAGTTTTTCATTTAAGGTAGAAAAAGCAGAAAGGCTTTAAAAGCCCTATCAGGTTTTTCTTCCAGAACGAAACCTTATCCTGGGTTTTTAACCCTGACCATTGCAATAGATGCCTTGTTCTATCAGCACTAAACTGTACTTACGAAAATTACTTCAGAGCTGAAGGAACGTATTAAACCAGTTACAGCTCATTTAAAAATAACTCAGATTAACATACTTGATGATCAGTCATGATTTCAGAATAAAAACAAGTACCCTAATTCTAGAAAAGGATACTCAGTGTGGGCCTAAGGAAACTAGCAAGAGTGAACACATTAATATGAATCCCCTTTGTTTTGCCACATTAATTTAATTTTTAAAATGAATATATTATTGGAAAGATAGGCACTAATATGTAACTACAAAGCAGTAACTTCCCATTAAGCAATTTCTAGCAGAATCTATAAAAATTATAAATGGTATGAACCATGAAATAATGCACAGTATAATATTAGCTGTGCAGGGTAATTGGCAGTCATAAAATGTCTTGTGCAAATCTGTTTTGAGCAATCATACATTCAGCAGAAACCCAGATGACCCAGATCAATCTAAATGGATTATCAGTAAAGCAACAGAAGTCCATTAAGGATGCCTTACCTCTAGATTCAATTTCCCTAATGCACATATCTACCACCATTGGTCTCTTGGTGAAGTGTGCTTTTACTAGCGTGGTAAGGTCACAGCTGTACACTTTTTTGACATGCTTCAGGTCTGGCTTGCAGTCATTTGGGACCATCTTGGAACATTGCTTGTGCACATTTAAACCACAATCTGAGAGAAAAAAATGAAAACATGATTAGGCTGGTGTTTGCTGAAAGTGTATTCTGAGATCAGTGCTGTGGAGTACAAATGGCTCCGTCAGGATCTGACCTCAGCTCACTACAGTTACTTCTCTTCAGGGCACTTAACCACCAGATACCTGAAGAAGGGACAGCCCTGAAGTCAGAAGGATTTCCTACCCAAGACATTTATTCTGTTTCTAGAAGGGCTAACACAGAGTGACAAGCTTTCCATATGTTTTCTCAAATCAGGAGCTAGGGATCAATTGTGTTCCCCACCACTATTACATACACTGCTGTCACAATGAAGACTTTTCTCCCAAATTACTGGGGATTTCCTAACACCTCTATCTTCAATGTAGCCCTGGATCTGGCACTTTAGACATCTGCTAGGGGAGATGAAGGTAGGGACTGGGTTAAAACAGGCTACAACCCATCTGCAGTGAGCTGGCAAGGCAGTGCCAAAACCTGAGCCACTGCAGGGACAGGTGTGGCAGCCCTGCCCTGCCCTGCCTGGAGGGGAGCTGACCCCTGGCACTGACCCTGTGCCTGTGCTCAGTGCCATCTCTCCTGCCCTGCCATGCAGACTGCCCTGTGCTTGCCAGGAAACAGCTGAGCCCAGCGAGAACAGCACCACATCCCAGTGAGGGTGGCTGCCACGCTCTGCTGGGCACTTGGGACACACAGGGACCCCTGTTCTGCAGCTGTTCCTGCACCCCGCTGCCCTGCCATCCCGAGTGCCCTGCACTGTCACAGCATTAAGGGATGTAGGAGCTTGAGGGATCGATGCCTTGGTGAAAATCTGCACTTTCTTCTCTCACTGCAGGACTGGGTATCTATCTACTAAGAATCCCTTCCTGTTTTGTTCCTGCTGATTTTGCCAATACTTGTACTTCCATTAAAGCTCCAAGTTATGTGACTTAGTTCTTTCCAAAACACTAAATCCCAGAATTCATGGCTAGGCTTAATTTCCACTAAGTCAGCTGCAGCCTGCTGCTAAAAGCACTTTGTTTACTTAAAAGACCTGTAAAACAACCGGATTTGTCACTTAGGATCCTCTGGTTGCAATTAAAGTTTGGCATGTCACCTTCAATCCATCAAAACTTGCTCAGATCCTGCTCCAGATGCAATGGCTGATTAGAATTCTCTGGAGGTCCCTCTGTGCAGGAGTGACCTCGTTCCTCCTGAGGAGCAGGGAATGCACGGGCAGGGAGCTGCGGTGCTGATTTCCCTCCTGGCTGCAGCTCTGTGCTGTGAACCCCCGTGGGCAAAGCCTGGCCACGCACACCCTGCACACCCTGTGCCCAGCCCAGGGCTGCTCTGCCCCAGCTCTGCCCAGCAGAGCCCAGACCCCACTGCTGCCCCTGGGGAGCCTGCTTTGGGCACCCGGGCTCCTCAGTGTTGGCAAAGAGGGAACAGTGACAGCCTTGCTTTCACCCGAGCACTTCTTTAAATCCCACACTTAGGCAAGTGCTCCAAGACCCCAAAGTGACCCCGAAGTGACCACATGCCCAGCATTCTCCCTACCTGCAGCTTTGGGGCACAGAACAAAGAAATCCTGAGCCTGCCAGGCAGCATGGGCAAGGGGAGCCCCTCCTTTGCTTTAAATATCTGTGCCCTGTGCCACATTCTGCCTGAACTTTGAAAAACCAGGTCTTTGTGGGCTTTAAATGGGGAACCCACATTCACTGAAACACATGACCTGGGCAAGGAGAAGCTGTTCTTGCCTCCTCCGGGTCTTGTAGAACCAAAGCAATAAATGTTTGTGGAAATGCACAGGTAAAATAAGTCTTTTTTGGTGTAAGGTTTGAATACTGTGTCATTAGTAACACCAGCACTTTTAAAAACTACAAGACAAAATACTGAATAGGTGCTATTAAAACAGTCTGCTTTCAAAATAAAGACGAAATTGAGGAGTAAAAATAAAAAATAGTCAAATAATTAGACGTAACATCTTAACACGCACACAAGGAAAGCAAATTGAGACCACATAGGAAATCTTAAATCTTGACTTCCTTTATTTAGGAATAAACCTTAACATTGTAATAATAGTATTTACAAATGCAAATATAATTACTGTACATACAATTCCTAAAACTGCCTCAAGAAGCACCTCTTCCAACAAACATGAAATATCTGTCAAAAATGATGTCTACAACACTGGGATGGCAGCACCTCACTCATGAGAACTCATGAAGGATTCTGTGAGTGCAAATTAGCTGCTTCACACAAACAGCAATATAGCTCAGAGTTACATTTCTGGAAACCCAAGGATAATTAAGAATAAAATACACAAGAAAAAAGAAAAAAAACCACATACTCCCAAGTATCTTACACTTGACTTAAACCAATTATTGCCTTGACTGAGATAATCTTAATTATATTTATATACAAGAAAGTTTCAATTCATTAAAATCTCAATTTACAGAGATGTTTTCATTGTGAAAACCTTGCTTCTGACAGTAATTGTGTTATTGCTAATCCCATAGAGTCAGATAGGCTTTGAATCTGACCTCATTAATCCCAGAATAATAATTACAAATGCAGAAGTCAACTTTTCTCCTCTCTCATTTGTTCTTCCTTTGCATTTGATTAGATTTTATGCACTAACCCACTGCTTAAGGGCTTATCAACACTCCTGAGAAACATTTAAAAACTGGAAATATTTCAGATACCTAATGTTTAGAAAATGTGCAAGCCTTATGTTCAGGATTATTGGGCTGTGTGGTGTCCTTGTGATAACTAAGGCTTTTGTGTAAGCACAAAAAACCATCTTTAGCAATTTCATATCAGGAAATATATCAAGGTTATTTCAGTGAATTTACATCAGAAGATGGTATTTTTTTCCAATGAAGAACCTGAAACTCACCAGTGCTGTGCTTCCTGAACCAAGTGGGCCTCTAACCCCAGCTGACAATACTTCATAAAAGGCAGAACATTCATGTCTCAGTCACTTCACTCATCTCTGGTTCACTTGATAACTAAGGATGATGTCTTGCTAACTCCACCAAGCTCAAAAGCACCAGGGCAGGAGGTCAGTCCTCCTCTCCACAGAGCACTGGGAATGTCCCAGTTCTGTACTTAACCATACCCAACTTACCTGTTAGTCCTAAACTACAGGAATTGTAATGCAAACTGAATACTGTTAAATTAAAAAAAGAGTCCTCTGTTCTCACTGCAGATGCTTTGAAAACTACAAAAGCCATTATTTTAGAATCAAGTGGGAAGGAAGAGGAAAGCCAAGTCCTAAATCTCCTAACATACTGCTGTGGGTAAAGTCTTAGGACTGCTTGCCTTGTTTGCATATGAGCTTCATAATTTGGCTTGGTTCATGAAGATCAAAAGGATTAATTTAATTTCAAACAGAGGGTCTATTTACTTTTCATTATGTCAAAATAAATCCAGAATAGCAGCTTTACTATGGATCTAAAGTAACCAGGAGCCTTATCCATTTACAGAACCTGCTGGCTGGTGAGGAGCTTCAGAGAAATCCCCCTAAAGCATTGTATCTGCTGATAAATCCTAGAATAATACAGGACAGATGTAAATGATGCAGTCATGAGCTCTTGCAGTCAACAGTAAAACTTTTGCTGACTTTGGTTAATCAGTTTCACCTTACAGAGATGATTTCTAAGAAGTAGAATTGTAAGTCACTCTTACTGTTGCTTTTACAGTGCTATCAAACTGTGGCCACCTTTCAAATATACCACATGGACCAAAACCAATGCAGTCATAAATTCAAGAGTTTATAGGAAGTTTGGAAATTTAAGGAGGGTGCGCAGAAAGTAATTTTAGATGACAGGTCTGAAAGTCGGTGATAAGCTGCCCTGGCTTTAACAGCATATTGATCTAGGAGTTCAGATGGGCTGTGACATTACTTCTATGGGAAGTAATAAATTTAAAACCAGCCTGACAATAGTTTCCTATGATGCCTAGAATAAGGTCTGGTAATTTTATGGAAACAGCTAATACTGATGTTAGTCCACGGGGCTAAGAGAACAAATAACATGTTCATATTAAATGCATGAGCAAAGCCAACAGATAGATGCATGTTACTACTGCTCTATGAGCACACAGTATAAATATTTGCAGAGACTCAAATATACTTAGCTGTCGTGTTTTGTTATACTGTTGATTTGACTTCAGTCAGTTTTAGATTTCCTCTGGTTTATGATTTACTGGCTAACATGACTGCTGATCATGCTCCATCGGAATGATACTGTGTGTTACATACATCACTCTAATTATATGTCCAAATTATTCCCCCCAAAATTGATGTGTTCTTTCAGTCTGAAGAGCAGCTTTAAGAGCTAAAGGTAGATATACATTATCTGCAAGAAGTCTTGAAAGACTCTCCTGAGGTTTGTGGTAAGTGTGGGAGGGTGGGGAGCACGGAGCTGCAGTGCTGGCACCGAGTGCTGCCTTGGGCAGATCCATTGCAGCACCCACCAGACAGGGCAACACCCTCACACCTGAGCTGACACAGGAACACTGGGCTCTACACAAGCACAACGCACTGGCATCGCTCCTTCTTGCAAGGGTGAACAGGTTAGAAAGCCATTTGCTCTCATACATCACTCATGAGCTCGTAGCTTTTCTTTAAAAATTTAACACCTTTTCTGTAGCAGAGGGAGCAGCGTTTTCTGTTTCCTGGGATGCAGTGTGTTCCAACAGGCAAGTGAAGGCAGCAGCCCCAGTGGCCCCACGTGCTGCACTCTGTGCTTCCAAGCACGATCCAGCGGGGTGCTGTGAAGGTCTGCCCTCTTCCTCCTCCTCAGCTGCGTGGCTGCCACTTGGCTGGCCACACTGGAGCTGCCACAGTGCCTCAGATATGTGCTGTGTGTTCATCTGCAATGCACATCTGGAAGCAACCCTGGTCCCACAAAGAGCCTTAAGCCACTTCACCAAGCAGCCCCATGGCAAAAATTGCTTCCCAGCGTATGAGTATGCTCCCTAAAACCTGCTTACATCCACATCACTGTATCATGCACT